CTGCGAGTCCCAACAATGAAGGTGCAGAAAGCTTCGAATTAAGACAGCAACAATAAATCATTTGGTGCTAAGTCCAGCTTAAATTATTATTTTTGTCTGCTGTTATATTATGCTTCCGTGTGTGAGCGAGTGTGCCTGTGTGTGTGCGTGTGTGTGTGTGTATAGTGCGTGTTGGAGCAGAAATAAGCAGCTTTTTTCGATGCCCTGGGAAGTACTGTCCTATAATAAAATGATTTAATTTGTTCGTAGTATTTCATTCCAAAATGATATTACGCAACGTCGTCCTTTCTCTCTCCGTATGCTCTAATCCTTTTAATGCGTCGTCGCATTACCACAGTCACTAATATCTCTGAGAGCCGCCGCTCCTAACAGGATTGTCTGGGACAAATCTTAAACCAATCTGCTTTTGTTGACAGAACTGGCTGAATGTCACCTCACACAAAGAGGGGTCCCGATTGTTCCTGCCGGTGACGTTGGGGCCCTCAGTTCGTCTGGGACATCGACATAGTGAGGGGGTGTGCAAGGGGGGTTTGGTCTGGCCCCCGAAGTGGCACAACAGCTGAACAATGGGGGTATCTGCTTGTCTGGGGCCACGGCCGGCCTGAGGTATTTTAATCAGGAACTTTTTGTCCTAGTCGCCCTGTCCTCCTGACACTGCAGCATAAACAAACGCGTTAACAGAAACGTGGTGTTTTTTTTTTTTTTTTTAGATATGGTTCCTAGCAGTTTCGGAGCTTTTGCAAGACAACTTTTTTCTGCTCTTGGCTCTGTGAAGACATCTCCCTCCGTTAAAGGGCTCGGACGAGTTGGATGTACTGCATTTCGGGTTATGTTCGGTCCCAGCTGATTTGGTGCAACTGGAATATAGCCTGACTATCATTACATGCTCTGTTATTGAGTCGGTTTCATTGTTTGGCTGGGTCTGCAGCCGTGTGGCTGGTGTCGCGTTTGCTCATTCCATGCCGCCGGGAAATGGTTCCGATGGCTGTCCGATGGATTTGGGTTCGGCCTCTGGTGACTTTGGTGCTGATGCTCAGTGATCAAGTTTTTCTCTAACAACTGTGGGATGCTACAGGCAGGATTCCTGGTTACCGATGCATCCTCCTTCCTAATGGAGTCAAACCCCATTCCTTCCCATCATTCGGAGCAGACAGTGCTCGACAGTCAGGTGGCAGTATGTGAGAAAAAGGAAGTGAAAAAAGTCACATTTTTAGAATTCTTTTTTAAAGGGGAAGTTCCCGCCCTCCCCTTTAAGGGATGTCTTCAGATGCTTAAAGTGGCGGCCCTTCTTAGCCACTTCTCCCCCACCTTCGCTTCTCATTAAAGACACAGTGGCAGTTTGTCAGAAAGTGCTAAATTTAAGCATCTCGCCTCAAACGTGCGAACGGCCGTGTTTGTTTCTGTGAGCGCAACGCCAATCAATAATCCCTTAGCCCGTGCTCGGCTATCAATTAATGCCACCACTGCTTGTCAAGCTGGATATCTAAAATGTCATCTGGGGGAAAAAAAAATAATTACATATTTGGGAAAACCTCTCCTTGCCCCACATAACCAAATTAACGGGGCCTAGGTAAATGTGGCAATGTAGTAACCCGTCTTTCAAACCTGTCGACGTTGTGAATAAATGGCAGCTTCAAGACACAGAGTGCTACAAAAGCTCCCCCTTCCCACCCGTCAAAAAAAAAAAAAAAATGCAAAAAGTGTCTTGGGAAAATAAGGTGTTTGGCACATAAGTACGCCCCACTTCTACCCCCCATAATCCTTTGCAGGCTGTTTTACATTCAGTCAAATATGCTGGGAAATAACAAATGTGTCTTAGCTTATTCAGCTAATGGACAGTGGGAGCAGGGCTAGGGCTGTGCAGACAAAACCGTTCACCCCGTGCCGGGGTGCAGACATGCTTAACGACCGGCTATTGTGCAACAGATGCAGCTAATAGGAGATTTCCTCATATTATTTCATTAAATTATTTCATTTTCATTTTCAAGCAAATTCATAAATACGGGACTAGTGGAACGAGAGGGGAAAAAATTCTTTGCATGATAATAGAAAAAATACATAGCGGGTCAAACCCTATGCAGGTGGCAACAATTAGCTGTAATTTTTGCAGATTGTAATGATCTATAATTTACCAACCGATGATGGCCTAGGCAGTGGCCCTCCCACTGCCCCCCCCCCCCCGAAAAAGTTCTTCCCAGCTTCGATTTGGCACACGTTGTTCAGCTGTTAGTCTTTAGCACGGTTGTCGAGAGCGAGGTGGCTGGGGTGGCAGGCTGGTGGAGCGGCTGGCTCGCGGGGCAGGCTACCCTGTCGATTCACAGTCGCCCAACACCGGCTCTGCCATCGGCTAGTGGGGCTGCCTCTGAGCCTCACTGCTCGCCAGGATCCCCGCACGTCACTTTCGGAGCCTCGCAGGTTTTATTTCGGTGCCGCGTCCAGCTTTCACATCCCTCTACTTTCACCTGTTTTTTTCTCAGATTGTTCTGGATGCTGCTGGAATGAGTCTCGCGTCTCTCGGAGCTGCTGTCTCTCCTGGCCGATAGCGCTGTGCCTGCGTCCACACCTGGCAGAATCGTTAGAGGTGCTGCGGGTGATATTTAAGGGCAACTTTCACACACGGCCTGGCCCATAATGCTGCCTCCCCCCCAGCCGTGGTTTTTTCCCCATTTAAAGACTGAAAGGGGCCCTTGATGTGGGAGGGGCTTCAGTGCTGTTTACCTTCACTACCGCCCTCATTTATTTTTGCTCATAAGGAAATAATAAAAAATGTGTAAAACTGCAGATAAAAGCAATTTCAAAACATTTTAAAATTGTACCCTTCAAAATGAACCCCTCCCCAAGTCATTTTTGTTGGGTTTTTCTGTGGATGATGACAGCTTTAGCAAGAGTTTGACCTTTTTATTTTCGGAGTAAATTGCTATGCTCGGGGACGCTAAGACTTAGCATCTGAGCGTCACATCGGCGTGGCTAATTGGCCGCGTTAAGGTTGCCATTCATTATCCAACGATGAATATCCATTTTGCCGCCGCCGCGGGAAGGCTGTCATTTATCGACCTCTGGAGTCAGGGAATCAGTCGGGTCGCGACATCGGGGATGCACCCTTTGTCTGTTTACCTGCCGAGAAAATGCAATTTTGCAGCACCTTTTCCCAAAAATGCTTTTTATTTCAGAATTTAACCGCCATAATTATTGCAAATAACGTCTGTCAGATGGCTGTGCCGCACCCGATTGCTGTTTTTATGTTTTGACCTATCTATGAAAGCTGAAAAAAAGAATTAGCTAAATGGAGATGAAAGTGTTTATCAGATCGTTTGTTGCTGGAAATTGCCTCTGAGGGTTTGTTAATTTATTTATTTAATTTAATTTTTTTTTTGCCAGTCCTAAGCGTTTTTTTCCAGCAAGGTTAGAAATTTGCAGACCACATTTAAGGAGCTGCACTGTCACGGTGAGTTAACTTTCCACCTCAGGAAACGCCGTTTCTTATTAATAGTAAACATTATTATTTCACAGGATTATACGTATGCACTCTGTCGTCTATTATCTTGCGGTAGCTTTTATCAGTTATGCTCATGTTAATTAGCAGAAGTGCCAAAGCCGGCGGTTTATGCCTCGAAATCGAATTATTTTTCAGAGTTTTCCGGACTTAAGAGACTGGGACCCAATTTAATCTGCCCATTGTGAGGAAATGTGGAATAAGTGGCCTCCCAGAGCATGAGGGAGGCCCTGGCAATAGGGCGGGTAACCCTGAACACTTAAAACCCAGTGAGGACTCTCACGTGTGCCGTGCGATTACCGCAAGGCCGTCTCCTTCTCGACAAAGCGGGGCGACGCTGTCTCTACCATCACCCCGGAGAGCTTGGAGGGAGGGGCTCTCGGGGGGGGGGGAGTGTTGCCGCTCTACTTAGTGAAAAAGAACAAGATCTTCTCGGGCTGTCCAATGCATCCCGTGTTTCGGTCTCTGCTGAAAGACTCTCTCCTTATTGTTTATTATCTAATCTTTGTGGAAGAGTCGGCCTCGGTTAATGAGATTACAGACGCACGGTGCCACGAATCGTGGGTCGCCGCCTAAGTGCCATCGAAAGTCAATTATCATTTTAAAGGTTTCTCCGTCTCCGCGGCAATGGGGGACGGCACTTTCATTAATCGCTCACGAGTGCAGCGCTGTTTATCGCTGTGGCGAACGGGGCAGCGTCGGGTTTGTCATTAAATTGTTAAGGCGCACTGGACTCGGGGTGCGCAGTCGCAATAGGACAGGTCTGTCTGGCCACAGGAGAGCTGGGGACCATACATATGCCCTGCCAGGGATAAATAATCTAGGATTAGTAAATCCCCCATTAGTCTGGCTGTTTACATCGAGCTCTAGTCCTAATTCTCAGTCTGTTTTTGGATTGGAAGCTTGTAAAGCCATCAGAACAGGTTGCATTAAACAGTCATGATCCGGCTCTTTACATGCCGTCCCTATTATCAGCATGGTCACAGGACGAGAAACACTCACATGTGCGGCCCCCAAAATCACAACCTCTTTGGCTAGAACATCCTCTGTTTTTTTTTGTACTTTTTTGGAAGGCGCGTCAATCTTGATTTGCGGAGACTCTGGTGGGGAGAGTATATGTGTGTGTGTATTCTCGTTTATGGAGCGTATTGTCCTAATATAGGATTCCACTAGGATTCACAAGGGACAGCTCAAACCCTGAAGATCGGACACAGCGGAGACGTAACTGAACAGGGACGTTTCAGGAGGACTATGTCGTCGCTCATTTCTGTGCACCAGCATAGACTGTAAAACGTGAAGTGGAACGTAGCCTCTGTTTCGTGATCATGTTAAATCAAATTGTTATGCGCAATTATCGCTAATTGCTGTTTGGCAGGTGGCGCTGTGCCTCAGTTTAGGGCCACCAGATCGGCGCGCTCCTCACGTGTGAGGAATTCCAGTGGGTGCTCCCCTTGGCTCGAGTGTGAGACTAACCTCCTTCCCTCTTCTGTCTCTATCATTGCCACAGGTAAAGATGAGCCCAGCAGCTATATCTGCACCACCTGCAAGCAGCCGTTTGGCAGCGCCTGGTTCCTGCTGCAGCATGCGCAAAACACGCATGGGTTCCGCATCTACCTGGAGAGCGAGCATGGCAGCCCGTTGACGCCGCGTGTGGCCGTGCCGCCAGCCATGGGTGCCGACTGCACCTCGCAGCCGCCGCTGCACGGCCTGCACCTGCCCGAAGGCAGCCCCTTCAACCTGCTGCGCATCCCCGGCTCGGTGTCGGGGCGCGAAGGCCCGCCCCTGCGTGAGGGCCGCTTCCCGCCAACTCCGCCCCTCTTCAGCCCGCCGCCGCGCCACCACCTGGACCACCAGCGCATGGAGCACCTGACCGCTGAGGATTTGGCCCTGGCCACCGCCCACCACCCCAGTGCCTTCGACAGGGTGCTGCGCCTCAACCCCATGCCCCTGGACCCGCCCCCCCCCATGGACTTCTCACGCAGGCTGCGGGAATTAGCTGGCAACACTTCCACGCCGCCCCTGTCGCCTGGTCGGCCCAGCCCCATGCAACGGCTGCTGCAGCCTTTTCAACCGGGTGCCAAGCCCCCCTTTATGGCCACGCCCCCTCTTCCCACCAGCCAATCCCCTTCCGGCTCGCAGTCCACCCCCAATCAGCCGGCAGGCCAGTCACAGGGCACACCCATGAAGACCAAGTCGTGTGAGTTCTGCGGCAAGTCCTTCAAGTTCCAGAGCAACTTGATCGTCCACCGGCGTAGCCACACGGGTGAAAAGCCCTACAAGTGCCACCTGTGCGACCACGCCTGCACACAGGCCAGCAAGCTGAAGCGCCACATGAAGACGCACCTGCACAAGTCCTCACCCATGACCGTCAAGTCGGATGATGGCCTGTCCGCCACCAGCTCCCCGGAGCCGGGCACCAGTGACTTGGTGGGCAGTGCCACCAATGCCCTCAAGTCGGTGGTGGCCAAGTTCAAGAGCGAGAACAACTGCCTGATCCCCGAGAATGGTGAGAATGAGGAGGATGAGGAGGAGGAGGAAGAGGAGGAGGAGGAAGAGGAGGAAGAGGAGGAGGAAGAGGGCGAGGAGGAGGAGCTGGAGAGTGAGAGTGGCCGTGGTGACTACCGCTTTGGCTTGAACCTGGAGGCAGCGCGGCACCATGAGAACAATGGTGGGCGGCTGGGTGCCATCGAGGACAATGGGCCTCGTTCGCTGCCCGAGGGTCTGCAGGACATGGGGCTGGCGGCCAGCATGCAGCACTACAGCGAGGCGCTGCGGCAGTGCAAGCGTAGTTCTCTCGGCATCGACGGCGAGGTGCCACGGGACCTCTGCGACGACGACTCAACTCTGGACCGTGCCGACGAGGGCTGCGGCGGCGCTGTCAACGGACGTGGCTCATCGCCCAGTGAGTCGGCCTCCGTCGGCCTCTCCAAGAAGCTGCTTTTGGGCAGCCCCAGCTCGCTGAGCCCCTTCTCCAAGCGTATCAAGATCGAGAAGGAGTTCGACCTCCCCACGCCGACCATCCCCAACACGGACAATGTCTACTCACAGTGGCTGGCCGGCTACGCCGCCTCCCGCCAGCTCAAGGACCCCTTCCTGAACTTCGGAGACTCCCGACAATCGCCATTCGCCTCATCCTCAGAGCACTCCTCGGAGAACGGCAGCCTGCGCTTCTCCACGCCGCCCGGCGAGCTGGACGGGGGCCGCAGTGGCACGGGCAGTGGCGGCAGCACCCCGCACCTGGGCGGGCGACCCAGCTCCAAGGATGGCCGGCGCAGTGACACATGCGAGTTTTGCGGCAAGATCTTCAAGAACTGCAGCAACCTGACAGTGCACCGGCGCAGCCACACGGGCGAGCGGCCATACAAATGCGAGCTGTGTAGCTACGCCTGCGCCCAGAGCAGCAAGCTCACCCGACACATGAAGACGCACGGCCAGATGGGCAAGGACGTGTACAAATGTGAAATCTGTCAGATGCCTTTTAGCGTGTACAGCACCCTGGAGAAACACATGAAAAAATGGCACAGCGACCGCGTGTTGAACAGTGACATTAAAACCGAGTAGAGCGACATCCGGAACCTTCCTCCCTGTCCTCGGTCCCAGGTCCGCTTCCCCCGTTTCACCAGTCCTCCGGAGGCTAGGGGGTGACGTGCTAGGCACCAGCACACCTTGTTTCATATTTCTGTTGAATGCATGACCTGTATCGGGGCAATACGATTGCATCGACGCAAATTTGAGCCTTTCTCTTGTGCAATAATTTACCTGTTGTGTACTTTTTCTTTTCTTTTTGTTTTTTTTTTTAAATATATTTAGACAGCATGTTTTGGCTACTTTTGAGAAGTCGTCCTCGATCAGTTAGTCGTTGAGTAAATGTGTTGCTGTTTCTAGTTTCTGTTTTGAGAGGAATGATTCAAGACCGTGCTGCATACATTCTGTGATACATATCATGTACAGCTCTGGGTCACGGTGTGGAGGGCGGGTGCACGGAGGCGGAGTCTAACCCCCTGGACAGGCTCACAGTCGCAGTTAAACTGATCTTTGTAAAAGGTTTCTGTCCATGTTGGGTTAAAGTGTTCGAATTGGGTTTAGTGCTAAACAGTGGCAGCCATAAATTTCATACAGCGACAGAAGTCATCTGATTCAATTTGTACTATCATTAGATGAAAAAAATAAAAAAAGAGTGCCTTGGATTGTTTTGAAGCTACGCTTGCTAATCCTTCTACTATTCCTTGTTGCTATAAGCCCGGGATCTCAGCTGGTTACTGGAGAATGGGGTCCGTCAGCCCCAAAAGTAAGGTCCTTGCATCAAGTGTACCTGATACAGTTGACTCTGACAGAATTTTTAAAAAAGTGATGACAAAGGCAAGACACATTTCCAGTTAATCATCTTTTAGCTACCTATTAATTGTGTATTCTTTAAATGCTGACTCTGTTTACTGGCATGGTACATACTGTATTGAATGGGGTTTTAAAAACTTTTTTGTTTGACTTTCCGGTACTGTATTCGGCGGTACAGTGAATCCACTTGTAAATCATAAGCTCTTGTAACTATTTTTTTTAATGATTTTTAAGAACTTTGTCACTGTTTTTTTAATATATATGTATAAGTAGAACAAATCTCTGATGTTGTTGGTTGGATCTTCAGTGTGCTGACCAGGCAGTATTAATGACTAGAGCACCTGGAATCTGTGGGCATTTTAATGCTGAAAAATGGTGGGGGGGGGGAGTTCAGAGATTGGAGGAGGTGTGTGTATGTGTGTGTGTGTGTGTGTGTGTGTGGGGTGGACGGGTTGGTCGGGCAAAGGCGATGGGTGGTGGGGGGGGGGGGGACGTGCTCATCTGTGGCTTGCCTTTTCACAGGGGCACAACAAACTTTCCACGTCCCGGTCAGTGATGACTGTCGCCCTATAATCGTCTCCTTCCTTTAACTCTCGAAAGCCCCCACCCCCCAAGAAAGAGGACGACAGGCAAAGAGAGCATATATATATATTATTTTTTTTTAAATGCTCGTCCATCGCATGCTATTTGTGTTGACGTGAGTGACTCCGTCGTCGCACGGCGTTGGGCCCCGCCTGGTGTTCAGTATAGCACTTGTCACTCTGCCGCAGACTCTGTACCTGTTTCCGAATCAGAGGTACAGCGGTCGAGTATAAAAGTAAGATGGCTCATCCGTAGGACGAAGTGAGGTGCACTGTTTGAATTTCCCCCAGTTTACAGGTATTACGCTCAAGGGAAAACCGGCTGCAGTTCTGGCGGTGATGTGCGGCGTCGTTGCTCATTGTAGGAAGCAGCAGGCTGAGAGGGTCTGCTGTGCTGCCAACCATTCTCCTCCTCCAGAGGACCGGGCTGCGGGTAGCAGTGTGGTGACCGGGTACATTTCCTGCTTAGAGAACGAGTGTTCCAGACTTGCTGCTTACACAGCAAGGATTTTTTTTGTAAAAAAAAAGAAAAGAAAAAAAAAAGATAAAAATCAAATAAAAATGAAAAAAAATACAAAAAAACTGAAATAAAAATAAATATTACAACAACCTTTTTTTGTAACACTTCATTATAATTAGGGGGAAACTGTATTTAAGTGTTTATTGTTTTTGGGTTTTGCTTCTCTCCATTTTGTCTTGGTGAACTCGATCGATCACTATATATGTATATAGTGAAAATAATTTGTGATATTTTGGTTTGCCTTGCCTATTCGCAGCTCTTCAGGTCAAACAAAACATGCATTTGGGAAAGGTTTAAGATTATATATAAATGTATAGAGAGTACTTAAATATAGGAAAATGCACACACGTCAATTCCTATGCTAAAACACATTTACGGTCTACTTTTTTCTGTATTTCTAGAATGGTATTTGAATTAAATGTTCACCTAGTGTAGGGACTATAGTATTTATATCGAGACCTGTATTTTTATCTGTTGCTTGTTCTCTTAAAAAGGTATCGATGTACCTTTTTTTCGGTAGTGGGAAAAAAAAACAAGCTGCCACGGTCTATTTTTTTAATTTGGCAGGATAATATAGTGCAAATTATTTGTATGTTTAGAAAAACTGAAAACGGAAAACAAAAATCTGTGGCTTTGTACAGACGAGAGGCCATGTGATGGTTCTGTCGGACGGTCCTTTTCCCCATGTCCAATATATTGTTGAAGCAGTGGCTGTACAGAACATTTTTTTTCTATTATTCCTTTGACATTCTGTACGCAGTGATGCAAGCTGATGTTGGCTCGTCCGTAGTGTGCTTTCTGTCTCTTCACTTCCCTCACCCGACTACATTCCAGCATCTTAAAGGAATTTAATGTCATATGCAGTAAATCCGAACTAAATAAATCAATAAGTAAATAATTGAGTAAATAGTGTTTTAAAAAAAAATAAACATTTTGCAGGTTTTTCCTTTCTTTTTTTTCATTGCCAAAAACTAAATGGTGCTTTATATTTAGATTGGGAAGAAATTTTTTCATATGCAAAGCATATTTGAAAAAAAAAAAAAACGCAGAAATAAAAATTGACGGATAAGCCCGCTTGAGTTGATACTTTTTTTGTAAATGGCAATGCAGAATATTTTGTTATCCGCCTTTTGTATTCCTGTATTGAGAGCTGTTTGTTGTAAACTGAACTTGAACTTTATCTTTTACAATGGGAGTCACTATTTATTATTATGTGTGTGTACTGTTCAAAACAGCGGCACAGAAATGGATATTTTTTTTTTTGTTTTGATTGTCTCAGTTGTGGGTTTTTTTGGGGGTTTTGGTTTAAGAATGACCTCTGAATATTGGAAACCTACCTTTTTTTTCGTTCTATTGGAGATACCGCTGTCTCTGTCTGGACAGTTGTCTGCATTATCCTGTTTACACACCCATTTTGTCCTTTAATGAAAAGAAATAAAAAAAAATGGAAGTACATTTGCGTTGGAGGTTTCTTGTATGCTGTGACAGGGTGAGCGGCTGGTGGTGAGAGGGGAGGAGTGCAGGGTACCCTCCCCCCCATATCGCTCCATCAGCCATATTCACACGTGCACACTTGACCCACCCAGGCAATGTAAGCCATGGCGACGTTTCCCTCGTCTCCGCTTCCTCTCTGGCGCTGTTTCCGTCCACAGACTTTTGTCTGCACTCACCCTCCCTCCTGCAGCCCCATACACACCCGTACCCCCCCCCCCCCCCCCCCCCCCCCCCCCCCCCCCACCCCGGCTCGGTCCATGTGGCTGCAGGTTTGTTTTGGCTGGAGCGGGCAGGTCATGTGACACCACTCTCTGTCACAATCCCCGTGTCATGTTACAGGGGAGAGTCCCCCCCCCCCCCACTGCCCAAGTGGAGCCACCTTCCCTACATGTCCTGTAACGGGAATCTGTCCGCGGCTACTCCCTGTCAGTGCTCTCCTCGCGAAAGAGTGTAAATATCATTATCAAACAAATATCAGCGTAACTGGAAAACGTTATTCAAAAACAACTTTACAATCGCCGCATTAAAGTTCAGCCTTGATTTGATTGATTTGCTTGTCTTTGTGCTTAGGATGTTCTGGGCGAGTCTGTTGCAGGCATAGCTTTCCACTCCAAAGGAAGGCACTTGTGTTAATGAGGCCGTGTTGTGAGCAGCAGGTGCACACGCACGCACACACACGTACACACGCACGCACACACACACGCTCGCACATGTAGGGTAAACATATCCTTATGGGGACCGCTCATTCATTTCAATGGTAAAAAATGCTAACGCTAACTTTGACAACCTTAACCCCTACCCTGCCCTAACCATAACCATAAGTAACAAAATACAAGAGTTTTTGCATTTTTATAAAATTGAGTTCCCCATAAGGGAAAAAAACGGATATTTATCTCGTTATGGGGACATTATGTCCCCATAAGGATAGGTAAACCCGCTCGCACACACACACGCACACACATGCGCGCACACACACACAGTGAGACTGGGATGTCTTCCTCACCGAGTGGAGGAAAAAAAACGATCTTACCCTCATGGTCCCTCTTGTTCCCACACAATGGCAGCTCGCGTGCGACTCCCCACGCCCGCAGTAAAAGCCCCCAACATGGCCGCTACCAGAACGCAGCTAACGGATGAAACGAAAAAAAGTGACACTTGTTTCGCTTTGATAAACCAGACACATTAAAAAACCACCGAGGATCATTTTTGGTTTCTCTGGGCACAAGGAAAAGATTCATATAAAACAGAAAACACTTTCCAGGATTATTAAAAAAATGACTGAAACCACAGGCCACTAGGCCTGTCAACTCCAGGCCTCCCCTGTCTGTCGTTAAGTGATGTTCAATGACCTGGGGAAACTGAAATAATAATAATTTTCTTTTTATTAGATTTCTTTTTTAAATTCTAAGTAATGTTTGCATGGGCCTGGTCGGTGAGGGTTTCCCATATTCCTTACTGTGGTTGTCCTTAGTTGTTACTGCTGGAGAAATGGGTGTTCAGAAGGTCTGCTTCTCCAGAAGATGACAACCCACATTGGAGGTTCACCAAGATGGCCGCTTCAGCCCGTCACGGAGTCTCGGCCAGCTTTCCCGTGACTGTTTCCTGTGATCCATAGTCAGACGTCGCTTCTTGATGGGGTTTGTGTGGGTCAGTTTGTGTCTATCTGAAACGGGACTTCGTCACATCCCAGGCTGACTCACTGTTGCATCCTTGTTGAGTGTCGGATGAATCATCACCGACCCCCGCCCCTTGCCAACACTTCTGATGCAGTTCATCGATAGAAGTCACATGACATAGCTGTCCACTGAGCCACTGGCATCTTAGCTTGGTGGCCAGGTGGACCTGAGGGTACGGAAGCATGGGAAGTGGTGAGGGTGTCTTTCCCGGGATTGCCTGCGGGGAATTATGACAAAAATGAGCGCCGAAAAGCGCTCCTGAAGTTAATTTCGGCACATCGTGGTGTCGCTGTCAGGTAACACCTACACCGTAAGGAAATATGGCCATCAAGCGTCTGTGGGAGGTGGAGACAAGTGTAACCCTGGCGGTGTGAACTTGAAGAAGCAGCCCAAAATATTCGTCTGAAATAATGCTTCCAGTATTCAGCTTCTGTCCTAATCGCTCATATGTTCGCCTGGACGTAGTTGGTAGTGGCCTTTCGCCATGACAACCCCCCCCCCAGCCACCAACCCACACCCTGATTCTTCCAGGCACTTTCTAAGCCTTGACCAAAGCAAATACACTGTGAACTGTCACATTAAACCCAATTATACTGCCTTGTCTTACGCTCATGGGAGTCTTACTTACACAAAAATATAGGGCAAAAGGAAACATGATTGGTTATCTCTCTGAACCAATCAGATTGTAGAGGAGGCAGGTCCAACCAATCAGATGTCTTGGTCTCGCCTCCTCTAGTTGCTTGAACCCACCACCTCTACAATCTGATTGGTTACCTCTTGGAGCCAATCATTTTCCATTCTGCCCTCAGAACATTTCTGCTTCTATTTCTTACAAGAAAAAAGTCTCCCATTCTCCCCCAAACCTGAGTTTGCTTACGATTCAATCAGAAATACTCCGTCCTGCATTCTGCCTTGAAACATAACATTAAAAAACATTATCGGATTAGCTTAAAAGGCTGGTTTTGCTCTGAAGCGGCTGGGGTATTTAAATTAATTTCAACTCCTTCTTCTGCTCATCCATTTTCATACCAGAGACTGACAGTTAGGTCAAGTGAGGTGTAATAAATTCAAATATACACTTAATGAACAAGAAACAGCTAAGTGTAGGGGATATAAATCAATAGTCCAATCAATGCTGAAGGTTTTCTGCTGAACGGCTGCCAGCTCGCTGTGCTCGCAGACGATTGGCTGATCGGTGCGCGTTCTGCTCGCAGGCGATTGGCTGATCGGTGCGCGTTCTGCTCGCAGACGATTGGCTGATCGGCGCGTTCTGCGTGCCCGGCCAGCTTACTCGACTTAATCCAGTGAAGGGGGTGGAAGTTCAGCGCCTTATCTGGGCCTCCGGCCTTGTCTGGTCATCCGTGCGAGTGCATCGTAAATCCCAGTGCTCGCCTCCCCGCCCCGCGAGGGGGTGTGTCTCAGCAAGCACCGGCCTTGTCCGCGGCCCCCACCGGGGAGGTTAAAGTCTGTAGATAGATGAGGAGTCTGGAATGCAAGGTGTAGACAGGCAAGATAAAGCAGGCCTCCCCTAACCCTCTGCTCTGAGAGTGGTGTGGTCCCCAAGGGGGGGGGGGGGGGCTCTGGGGGCAGGGGTCAGCTCCGGTTTAGAGTTCAAAGGCCAGTGAGCCATCTCACCATCCCGAGACGAAGAAGGGGCCCTAACTCTTTCTTCAAACTTTGTTTTCAGATGTGGGAAACCATTATATTGCAGAAGTGAGACAGCCATACAGGGTGTGCGAATACAGAGCTGGCTATTCTCTCCCTCCGTCTCCCTGCTTTAATCAACGGCCGAGTAACACCTGTAATTTTAACGCTTTAAGGTGTAGCTTATTCAATAAATAACATGGAGAGCAAAGAAGGCGGATGAAAAGCTATTAATAATACATACTACATTTAAAGCCGTTGTTTAATGTGGGAATGAGACAGCGATGCTCTAAATACCAGATCTTCCGATTTTAACGTGTTTCATGTCTGCGAACTAATGCAATCAGATCAGATAGCGGAGTCAGATTTTTCTTAAGGATGGTGAAGATTTTCATGCCGGTTATGAAAGGAAGCTGGAGGTGTGTGGAGCTATTATAGGAAAGTGGTGGACTGGCAGGCTGACGTGAGACTGGGGCCAACTAGCTGTGAAACGGGGATGGAGATGCAGGTCGGCCAGCGCTTTGGCAGTCTCACCAGTCCCCCGGCGGCCGAGAGCGCCACGTGTCACAAACACCTTCCGTGGATCATCTGACTGTCCGTCTGTCGCCCCGGCTGAGTCAGATCCACGCCGGAAGGCTCTGAATCCTGCCCTTCTCTGCCCGGATTGCTTCCGGTCAATGCGATGAGGCCTAAATTTACACTCTGTTCTCGAGCAGAACCGGCATTTAACAGGCGTGGAGAAGACGGCGCTCCTCGAATCGGACCAATATGCTTCCGTAACGGAAATAGCCCTCTTACCTCGTTAAAGTGGTACTCTTCAGTGGCTATCATCCTTTGGGGGGACGGGCCGGTCCCTCTGTCCCGATTCAGGATAGTTCTGTTGCTTTCAGCCAGACCCAGGCCTATGGATGGTCCCCACGGCGGAGCTTGATGAAAGCCCCACATCCCCCACCCCAAACAAAGGGGGCACTAAAAGTCTGCATAGGGTAATTACAGCTTCAGCAGTGGGGAGGCCCCCAGTAAATTCGAGGAAGTGTGAGGCTAAGCTGCAGCTCTTTTTTGGGACACTTAGGAGGAGGGGGGGTTGGGGGCGTCATTCGCAGAACCGAGGCTGTGTTGTGTCTGGCGCTCTCTTTGTTTTTCGGAAAGACGACCCGGCGTTGACATGCTCGGACACACGCGTGCGCGCGCACACACACACATGTGAAAACATGCCCGTGTTCACGCACCTGTAGCAGAAGCACATATTTCGACACGGTTTGGGAATGTACACATATGCACACACACGTAGGCTTAGCCTTGAGGGACGCGGTCTCTCTGCAAACACTCCCAACTGCCCCCTTGTCTTGAGAGCAGGGTGAGGGGGGGTCAAAGGTCATTTTTTTTTCTCCAGGGCTGCGGATTAAGTTTCACATGACCGAGCACCTTTGTTGGGTCGGCCCCATAGAAAAGAATCACGCAGGAGCTTTGCGCCTCCATCTAGAAGAATGATCAGAATACCCCCCTCCACCCCCCGTCCAGAAAAGTCTGGTGTGCTCATCGGTAATCGATGTGAGGCTGCGTCAGCCAGCTCGAGTGCCACCAGCCAAGCCTGTCCCTCAGACAGGAAGGGTCACTCTCTTTGAGCCGCCATCACATA